AATTGCCAAGGTCCACTCCCATCTGAACCCATTGCATATCTTTTTTACAATGCTTCTGAGACCCAGCGTTTCCAAATGCTTCTCTTGTACAGAGTGGGTAGAAATATTTCTACCATAATAATTCCTATAATCTGTGCTAAGAAGGGAGCACTTTGCTTTCAAATATTGTCACCTCCTTAGCAAACATTATCTTCCATTTTTTACTGATTTTTTCACGTCTTCCGTCTCCGTCAGCTGTCCTGAGTTCCCATAACTCAGAATAGTAACACAATGCACACAAGGCAGCAAGGATTGCATAGCTGTTTGTCACACAGCAGCTAGGAAAAAACATGTACCCTTGGTTGATTGTTTTAATCCTAACAAAGTGACAGTAATGTGTCTCCAGATTAAATCAGTGGGATTTAACTGCCTAGAAAATTAATTTCTTCCTTATTTCTAATAGAATCTTGAGCAGAGGTACATACTCTTAATGGGTAAATTCATTCTGGTAACCAAATGCTAGCAAATTGTTTGGGGGATAGCTTGCCACTAAATGTTTTCACAGTTCTATGATTTATATTATTGCATCTGGGTAGACACACTTATGTCAACCTTATTGTTTTATACAATTTAAAGCAAAGAGAAATTTATGTAAATTACTTAAGAATAGCACATTAATGTTAAATTTAAGACTAGAGGTTCCAGAAAGTGATGCCTAGTACCCTGACTTGCTTTTTGAATCTGTACCTTACCCTAAATGATGGAAAGGCAATACAATATTTTTCTCTTAAAACATTTTGTGACCATTACTTTCTCTGACAGAAATTAGCTTGTTTGTGGTATTTCTTCATGTTGCTACAGGGCTTTTCCATAGCAATAAATTATTGTTAAGCATGTTTGTCTGCCACAATGAGTGTGTTCCTAACATTGCCCATAGAAGAGTTTCTGATTAAGTTTCACTCTAAAATGCTGTTTCCATCAATGACAAAAGGAAATCAGATTGCAGACAGAGTTAAATGACACATGGTCAAATTAACTAAGAAACATCACACAAAGCAAAATGATGCCATTCTGGTGCCCTCTTAGGTAAGTGGGTAAGGCTCTGGTCAATGTTTAATTTACATAATATGGGAAAAGCAATCAAACTCTTTACTTATCCACTCAACTCTTTTTTTTTTTTCCTTGCTTGTTTTAATTTATATTAGGAATCTATTGGGGAAAAAAAATTTCTCTTTTTTTCATATTGCCTGGTCAGTTGTCATGAGCAGTGTGACAGGCATCAGGGGAGAAGGTGGCAATTAGGAATGTGATGCTGTAATGTATTTACAATTGCTTGGTGAAATCTTTAGTCAATTAGATAAGTTATTTCTGTTTGTGTGCAAAAAGTTTAATAATTGTTTCTTGAGGGGGAAAAATTAGCATAAAGTATAACTGACTCTTCATTATATTGATGATGGTAGATTAAGCAAATATGTGGTATTAGTATCACAACATAGGTTGAACAGTTAGTAAGCATCCCTTAAAGTGACCAAAAAAAACTACTGATGTTTCAGTTTAAAAAATTACATAAAACTGTGACTCCATAACTCTTTATAATTGCATATTGTTTATGCAGTAGGTAAAAGTGTTTGCTATAGGATTGGATTTCACAAAATAGGAGTGTTTTGTCAGTTTTATTTGTTCTTGGCAAGATAACGTTACTGGCAGCTGTCTAAGCCAAAAGGAAGGCATAGTCAGGGCTTTAAAAAGAGAATCAAATGTCAGTGAGAAACCTTTTTGGTGAGCATATGGTTCACATTCATTTTATTAGGTAAAATCCTCTGATGGAGTCAACAGGAATACATTGCTGCTTTTCAAATGCTTGTGTTCCAAGGGGATTCCCAGAGACTGCCCCACACCAAGGTACAGACATCTTTAGGTGTCCAAAGCTGTTATCTGTTGGACTTGGATACAGAAAAGTGGCTCTGAAGTCCATGTGCACAGTTGTGTAGAAATTTGTGCAGTGTAACTCTTAGATGTCATTAGTCTGAGCATCATGGTGTGCCCTGGTAACAACCCAACTTCACGGCATACACTGATCATCCAAATTCAGGGGAAAGCTGCTTTGGCTCCTTGAAGGATGCAGGTTCATAAAAATAAGTGTATTGCAGCAAGAGATGAAAAGGAGTGGCATAACAGTGAAAGCAAACTTCATAAGCTGTTACCTCAATAATGGCAACTGCCAAAACACAAAATACTTCTCTCAAGCTTGTGAGTAAGGCTCAAGCTAAGATTCTCCCATATTGCATTTTGTAATTGATCTTTGGGTGTAGTTAGGGGAAAGCAAGCCACAGGACTGATTGGAAGAGGGTAAAAAAAGGAAAAATTAGAGCGAGAAGTAAAATGGCAGCACATAGTAGAATCTCTGAAAAAATTCAAATGAAAATAGTAAAAGGAAAAGCAGCATGGGAAGGAAATTAAAAAAAGATGAGAGGGAAGACAAATGTATTTTTCTGTTAAATATACTCTCAGAAAGGGTGAGGGAATTGGGATTGTTCAGCCTGGAGAAGAGAAAGCTCCAGGATGACCTTATTGTGGCCTTTCAGTACCCAAAGACAACTTACAAGAGAGATGAAGAGGGACTTTTTACAATGGCTTGTAGTGACAGGACAAGAGGGAATGGCTTCAAACTGAAAGAAAGCAGGTTGAGATTGGATATTAGGAAGAAATTGCTTACTTTGAAGGTGCTGAGGCACTGAAGCAGGTTGCCTAGAGGAGCTGTGGATGCTCCCTCCCTGGAAGTGTTCAGGGCCAGGTTAGATGGAGATTTGAGCAACCTGGTCCAGTGAAAGGTGTCCCTGCCCATGGGGGGGGTTAGAATTAGATGATCTTTAAGGTCACTTCCAGCCCCCAAACCATGTGGGGATCGTGTGATATTCTTGTTTTCTCTCCCTTTTGGGGAATTCCTACCTCATATTTAGGGTATAAACTGAAAACCTCTGCCAAGGTGATACTAGGATTGCTTGTAGATTTAGGGTCTCTCAGACCTTTAATTTTCTTGGGAAAGCAACATATTATATAGTTGGAAAGTATTTTCTAAAGGATAATGGTGTTCCTAACAACTTTGTCAACTTTGCCACAAGCAGTTGTGATTTGTTTGTTCATATTCTCTGTAACTATCTTATCTCTATAAATATCTTAAGAACAGTGTTACAAGTCACAGATCTGTTGATAGTGATGAAGACACCAGTGAATGTTTGGAGGTACAATGAAATAGTGTTCTACATAAACTCGGGAAGGTCAGAACTAGTGTTGAAATTGTTCACAGTAAGAAACTCCTTTGAGAATTTATCTTTCCTCTTTTTCCTTTTTATCCACTGTCCTTATTTTAATGGTTGGTCATTCCCTGCTTATGCTTGGGAATCCTAAGAAAGGAAAATTAAAGTGATGGGTATTTATAATAACTTCTGCTTTTCTTAGTAGCTAAATATGCAACAAGTTTAAAACAAAAAGTACATAAAAGGATCTTCACTCAATTGTCATTAGCTCTGTGTGTATGAGTATAGAAGTGTAGAATGGTTTTGGTTGGAAGGAACCTTTAAAGGTCATCCAGTCCAACTCCCCTGCAATGTGCAGGGGCATCTCCAGCTAGATTGGCTCACCCAGAGCCCTGTCTAGCCTGACCTTGAATGTTTCCAGGGGTGGGATGGGATGGAGCATTTACCTCCTCTCTGGACACCGTTTCAGTATTTCACTGCCCTCAGTGTGAAAAAATTCCTCCTTGTATTGCTATGGTGGAGGCCTTTGCTGAGTTGTCTTATTTTTAATATTATATAAACATTAAAAAATTAAAACATTAAATTTGCTTGCTCACTCTGTTCATGAAGTGATTAGAAACTGTAACTTCCAGTATAGGTATATCCGAAGGCTTTCTGAGTAAGCTGGGAATCCAAAGGGCAATGTGCCCTTTTGCTTTGCCATTTCTCTCTGAAGGGCTAAAATGTCAGGTGAAACTACAAGAAACATTCAATGCCAATATTCCTTCTGTAGAGCCATAGACCGTAAGGCCATGGGAGCCAAGGTCCTGCAGGCTCCCAGCATCTTGCCCTCCTGTGGGCATGGGACAGGGATAGGGAGGAAATTGATAGGAAACTAGACCTGCTAACAGATTTTAGATACTCAGTGTGAAGTTGTCAAAAGCATCTTTGCAGTTCATAACTCTGGGGTGAGTGTGTGACTTTGAGCAAAACAGTTAAAAAACCCTTTTCTTCACTTTGTACAAAAATACTTTCAAAATACGTAAATGTTTTCATGGGAAGCTCTGCTTTGTGCAGTAAGCATTATCAGCAAGAATCCTTCTCGTGGCCATGGAATCTAGACAAACTTTATCAGCATGTGTATTTCTGTTTATCATGTGAAATGTGTCAAATGTATATAGTACCTGGAAAAAAATAATCTCAAATTTGGTTCTTTATGGTGATCTGAAATGCAGATGGCCAGAAGCCTTCTCTCATGTTCTAGTGGAAGTTCACACTTCTCCTTCCTACACATCCTGTGCAAGGTTCCCACTTCTCTGCCACTGAGCTGGTTATTTTCTCTTTCACTTTGTAAGTAAGGGCATTACATAATATGTCATGAGATAAGTGAGAGAATTCCCCTGGCTAATTTGGTGTCAATTGAAATAAGTGCAGAAATCATGTACTGGTAGCTTTTTTGTGTGTGTATGTTTGGGGAGGGATAAAAACTACTTTAAGGTTTTGTGAACACAGGAAAAAAGCTCAGTTAGAGTATTTAAATGGCCTTTTAATTAACAGTTCACTTGGTAATAGTATGTTGACTTGTCATTATTTCTGTCATTTAGAAAAGCTGCTGCAGAGATAACCACTAATTTCTACAAATTTGACTTCCAAAACCTTTAGAGCTCCAGGAGTTGAATTTCCCTTTGTGCTCCTTGCCTCTTTCCATCTGGCCAGTATGTGCTGAAGCATTTTTTGTCAATCTTGAGATTTTTCTGAATGCTGTGTGTGTTGGGTATTTTGCAGGAGCTTCAGGATGGCATTGGGCGACAGCAGACTTTTGTCCAAACACTGAATGGAACTGGGGAGGAGATCATTGAGCAGTCATCAACAGCAGATGCTAAGGTGCTGAAGGAACAACTGGGAAGTTTGAATAGCCGGTGGCAGGAGATCTGCAGACAGCTGGTGGAGAAAAAAAAGAGGTAGGTTAAATGGGAGGAAAAATATTGTGAATTTCTTTGTAGTTACTTTTGATTTGATTCTGCTCAAACTTTCAAAAGTGCTCTCAACTTCTAGACTTCTCCTGTATATAAGTAATTATGAGTAATTAAATTTCACATCCAATATAATTTGTGCAATTCTTCTTTTCTACCTACTCCTGTCAGTGACCACCACTCTCTTCCATACTTCACATTTCTATGATTTCACTCTTAATGTTTAAAAAGAACCAACCAAACATACATTATTGCTCAATTAAAAGTAGAACAGATTGGAGCTTCATTTGTAGAATTTACAGTTGATATATAATCTTTCTATTTGATTGTATGTCATTAAAATGTATCTCTGTAGTACTAATATCTTAGCTAATTGGTACAGTTAATCCTAATCTAATTCACTTATCATCATTAATGCCAATAAAATCTACATTTCATAAGATGGATAAAAAGAGTGGATAGATCAATTTGATGTTATTTATAACCACTGTTGGATCAATTTGTTTTTCTCATGCAGTTACAGAAAGCTACATAGTCTGAGCTATAGATAATATAAAAATGGGTTTACACCTTTAAAAAGAGATTTCCAATTTTTTTAAAAATTTTTCCTGTTTATACTAGGTTTTCTAGAAGCATGTATTCTTACCCTAGAGGCTGGGCATAACTGGATATGCCATCCTCTTTAAAATACAGCAGAAAATACTGGGAGAGCTTTCCTCATGCACTTTTTTTTAAAACCCAGAATATTCTTTATATTCTATATAATTAGTGACAGAGATGTACTAGAAGAACTGGGACTGTGCAATAAGTTTTGTTACTTCTGATGTGTCATATACCACTTGTCTGTTTGGAGGCATGAGGGGGCAAAGCTGTTAAGCTATTTACTGGAGTTGGGAGTGTCCTGGAAGGTTATTACCAAGTTGAGTCATGATTAAGGTTTCCCTTGGGACACGTTGGAACAGATGTCAAGCGTTGGAACAGGCTGCCCAGGGAAGTGCTTGGATCACTTGGAGTGGTTAAGTTTGGAAGGGACCTTAAAGATGATCTAGCTCCACACTCCTGTTGTGGACAGGGAACCTTGCACTGGGCCCAGCTGCTCAGAGCCCCATCCAGTGTGTCTGTGAACACTTTGAGGGATGAGCAGTGCACAGCCTCGTTGGTTAACCTGTTGCAGTGCCTTACCACTCCAATGTAAATAATTTCCTCCTAATATCTAATCTAAACATTTTCTCCTTCAGCTTAAGCCAATTCCCTCTTTTCCCATTTCTGTATGCCCTTGTGAAAAGTCCAGCTCTCTTGTAATCCTCCTGTAGGTACTGGAAAGTGCTCTAAGGTCTCCCTGGACGGTTTAAAAGATGTGGAGCTGTGGCACTTAGGGCAGGTTTAGTGGTGGGCTTTGGCAGTGCTGGGTTAATGCTTGGGCTCAGTGATCTAAAGGTCTTTGCCAACCTAAATGATTCTGTGTCAAAAGGAGGTGCAACAAGTAATCTGCAGCTGTCAGAAGCTTCACAGATGTGTCAGTAGTTCTTTCTGCTGAGTTTCCAGGTACTGATGGTACTGGTGCTTGTTACACAAGGGAGTCCTTGGCCCTTATTTGTCACATTTAAGCTGTTCTTTTGTACATTGGAAACCCATCTGTGTTTCCAAGCATTAACTTGTTATGTAAGTGCCAACACAAAACAATAACACATCATTTTAATAACCCTTTCAGCTGCTTCAGCAACACAGAAGAAGATCCATGGTTGAGCTTTGTCTGAGAATATGAAATATATTCCAGTTCTGGTAAAGACTGGGATTGCACATTCTTTCATTTACCTGTAGAAATGTCTCTCTGAATGCCATTTTAGCTCAAGGCAGCATTAGCTGTATTGCCTGGAATTTCTTGACATAGTCTATATTTTAAGGAAGCCAAGGGTCTGTTAAGTGGGAATAGGACAGTTATGTTCCCCAGATGAAGGCATTGCCCATTACATGTCACTGTATTATGTCAAATTTATTTACGCATCTCAGTAGGATATGAATTACAATTAATATTGGTGAATTAATGTATTTTGACTCCTTTTTTCCAGATTAACTTTAGTAGAGTATTTAAGAAAAAAACCCACACCTGCTGTCAGAATGCTTGTATTCCTGATCACATAAGTTTTAATAGTCCTTTAATATTTGTCCATCTTTCCTAAAAATTAAAATGTTTATGCTTAAAAGAATTTTGTTATTATGAAGGGGATTCTTGGTTTTATTTTTAAGTGAATTTTGAGAGTTAGAAAATTTAACCATGTTTTGAAACCGTAATGGAAGAAGTTGATGCTGAAGGGAGAGCAGACTGTGTATAATGCATTTTCATATAAAACTGAAAAAGAAATAAATTAACATTTAGAACCTTCTTCAAATCAGGAAAGAAAATGAACTCTAAAATTCTTAATAGTTTTTAATGGGGTTTTTTTTGTAGTCAATACATTGTTCTCCTCCTTGAAAGCTGATTTTCAGTAGGTCAGAGGACTAGTGATCAATTGAAATTTTCTTTTCTATTAAATCTTTTGGCTCAGCAGATCTCCAGATAAAGAAAGTGGGAAGAAATTAGCGACTGAATGTATTCCAGAAATGAAATGTGACAGTGATTTTGGATTCAAGTCTAATGTTGCTAAGCATTATTTAAATGACAAGGAAGTTTAATATACTGTGAAGTCTGGTTTTGCTATTGCTTACCGAGATGGAAGAAATCGATTCTGATAATCTTGCACTGTTTATAAGTGGGGCATGGACAATCCACTTTTGACTTATTTCTCATGCTGAATTTGACCATCAGTTGTGGGGGGAGACTGCAGAAGTAACAGAAAGCAACACAGATATTTTTGTAAGGTGCTTGAATGTGAGAATTTAGTTGAAGACAGAAGGTGTATGGTGACATTTCCATGGATGCCAATGACATTAAGTTTCAGGTAGTCAAATGCTGAGTTGATGGTGGGAACTCCAGAACTGAGCAGATGGGCAGCAAGTGGCAGATGATCGTCATCAGAGACAAATGTGAGGCAATGAATATTTCAGATAAACAGACTCTGCCATGCTTAGATGATACGGAGCTTCTTGCAAAGTGATCCTGGTCTTATCACTGACAATGTTTTTTGTTGAAAGTTTGAGATAGTAAAATGGATTTAAAGTTTACATTATGGTTTCTGAATATCTGAGGTTTCTGGCCACAGAACGTTGTGGGGGAAAAAAAATTTATGGCTCAGCACTATAGAATCTTAATCTGATGACAGTGGAACCTGGGGGAGTATGAGGTGAATGGAGTGAAGAAAGGAACCAGTGTTCTGTGTTCCCTCAGTTCCCATCTCCGTTGGCAGTGTTGGTGGCACTCTCTCGTGTTAGCTTTCCTGGCACGCTCAGGCCTTCTTCGTCTTCTATTGCGCTGATTATATTTTGGGGACAGGGGCAGAAATTCTATAAAATTACTTTGTCACCTTTCTGAGGTAGCACTGTTAAATGGTCTACTATGTGTTCTATGTGAGAACATAATACCATCACTGCATTGCTAAAAAACTAAGTAAATTCAAAATATTTCCTGTAGGAACCATGAACCTCGTGGTTGGTTGACTTGAAAAGGGAAGGTTGATATGGGATATCATTCCAAGAGTTTCAACATGTTAATCCAGTTTTCATAAATAATGTGGGAAAAATATGAAACTACCTGCATAATAAGAACTGTAAACCAGATCAAAACCATAATATTCTATAAATAACTGAAACTGATGATAGGGTCACTAGACACTAATAATAATCTCAGTGATATACAGGCAGATTTAATATATGAAAATTGTTTGGACCACAAAAGGTCAACTTAATTAAAAACAGACAAGCAAACAAACTAAATCTCAGAACAATTTGAGGAACCTGTACTGCTCTTCAGGAAAAAGAAGCTGGTTTTAAGTTTTAAAAGGTCAAATGCTGATCCCTGGCAAAGCACAGACTTAAAATTGACTTTGAATCTCCTTTCTTTGGTACTGAAGATCAAGAGGTTGTACTTGAGTTATGTTTGTGTAGGTTATCTTTCACTTGCCTTTATCTAAGAGTTTCAAAGCTGTAGAAGTTTGAATTCAGTGTTTAAAGTTTCTGTATCTTGCAGTCTAAGCCATCCAGCTAAGAATTAGGTGATAATGTAATTTTTGCACATCTTGTCATTTTATCTTCCTGAAAACTTTGAAATAGACCTGGCAGTTGAATAAAGTGGAACTTGATTGAAAGTCTGATACTCTGATAGTTAGCAAATTGGGGATTTTACTGAGTTTTTGTTAACATTTTGCTGCAAGTTGGCATGTTTTGGGGAAGTTTGAGTTTGTACTCTAACAGTGTTACTCAGACTGAAACAGAGGCTTTAGAGACCAGGCAAAGTCACAGTGGCCTTTATTTAGATGCTACTAACCTCAGACAAAAGACAGGGAAAAATAATCTGGTTTTAACTCTTCATATGCCAGCAATCATTTCAAATACAAAAACTTCTAAACTGCATCACCAGAAGTTCTCTCTGCCTTTTTGTCCCCGGAGACGCATCAGGTCGTGTCATGGTGTGCATGTCTGTGCTGAGACACCCCACTGGCACGGGTGAGTTTTGGATGACTGCAGGATGTGGTGGTTTGCCATCAAGACACCCTTGAACTCCTGTGTGGCAGCAAGGCCCAGGGCTGTGGCAGCAAGCCCCAGGGCTGTGGCACAGCTTGGTGCTGCACTCCTGCTGCATGGGACTGTCCATCAGGAGGAGAAGCAGCATCTCACATAGGAGCTTGATAAGAGGAAGGCTCATAAATGAAGTTGTCAACAGACTTGTAACAGTAGTGTTCACTGGCCTTTTTATTTTTCACCTTTGTTAAAAATTTCTTGTAGAAGTTTTGAAAACAGAAGCCCAGGATGTAGATGCCTTCACTGCAGAGAAGCAGTTTAAAAGCTCTTTGGGAATCTAGGCTGGTTTATAAGGATCAGGCAGCAGATGTAAGAGCATGCAGAGCTGTGCTGGGGCTGGATCTGCTGCATTCCATGGGCCCAGCTGCTGGAATGATGGCTTACTCCTCACTCACTTGCTTATCCAGTGACACATACTCCCACTTGCTTTCTCAATAACTGTTCTCTCCACATCCCATTCAGCTTGTGGCTCATGTTCCTTACTCCAGTTTGTTTAGGTTGGATTTGGAAGCCCATGCTCCTTTAATAACAATTAACTGTTAATTTCTCATTGCCACCATGAATTTAAACACCTAGAAATATGTCTGTTGTTCCAAATGTAATTATGGTGATAGAAAACAGTTTGTTCAAGAGGTGTAATCAGTCATTGAGTTAAAACTTTTAATTTGATTAACTGGTTCAGCTAACACAGAGTGTTTTGTTTTAGTATCCTGCATAATGTGACACTTGTCATGCAGGATGTTATTTATAATAGAAGTAATGTTCTAGCTGGCCAAGACCAAATTGTAAAGTAAATTAGAAAGTGCACCTTCACTTTCCATTAATTGCAATGGGCCTTTTAATTGCTATGCTACATACTGTTCCTGTCTAGAATAAAGAAGTAGATCTTTATGGAATACTTTTTTTTTAACTCTGTAACCCTTCAGTGCATATATATATATATATATGTATGTATATTTTATATGTGCATGTGTCTATGTGTATATGTATGTGTAACACATCTCTAAAATAATTCCTGGAGAGTCTTAGGTTAAAAACATCCCTATCTTACTGATCAACATTTAAATTAGTCATCAAAGTAAAAAGTATTTCCTTCATAGCTAGAAAAAGTTTAAATGTTTTAAGAATTGCAGCTGAATTCATGAGGGTGCTAAAACTGACAGTGTACTTAAGATAAAAAGGAATCTTGCCAATTGCTATCTCTTCTAGGAGACAAAAAATCTTTTTGATTTCTCATTCAAAATACTATCCAGCTCAATAATTTTGCTCTCGGGTGTATTGAGTTGAATGCTTTGCCTTTTCTGTGCCAGAATTAATGTGTTCAAACTTGTATCGTTCTCAGGTTTATCCTTAGGGTACCATCACATAATGTGTCGACTGAGCTATGCACTTCACAGATGAGTAGAAGTGAGAGGAAACCAAAAAAATTAAGATGTTGCTGAAGTTTAGGTTCTGGGGAACCTGGTCAGGCTAAGGAATGCATGTTCTATTATGTGGGTCATGGTGTGTATGGGACCCTTAAGAAATGTTTGGTTTCATCATTGCCTGTTAAATTTCTCAGTCCAGTAAGACACAGGAGGGTTCGATCGATTCTCCCAGTGTGGATTAAGACATGAACGAGGTCAAATACTGTCAGTGAGTGATATTTTATTATTGGTCACATAAGGGGGAGATAGGAGAGCTAGAAACAGGAGAGGGGGAAGTGAGCAAGATTTGAGATTGTGTGTGAACATTCATGTGTGCAGGCAAGTGTGTCAAGCAACAACTGTTCCTACCACTTTTTTGTTAAATGATGTGTAGCTGACACTTTTTATTGATTCATTTTTGCCTGAAGCTTATTCATGCAGCTTTTCTAAAGAGACTTCTTTGCTTAAGTCAGACATCACAAAACACAGTTCCCTAAAAATATAAAGTAAAACAAAAAACCACACACAAAAAAACCCCAAAACCAAATAAATGTGAGAGTAGCTCAAAATAGAGGTTGTTCCATTTAACTTCTCAGTGTGTCTGTGGGCTTTGATCATCATGACACATATGGGAGACCAGAGAAAGTTAATTTAATTTTCATTCTGCTTTAATATATTTTTGCATCCAGAAATAATATATTGATAATGCTGAACTTGATTCTCCACTACCATGCTACGTTTTTAACATACTTATACAGCTTCAGTTTGGTAAAACTTGATGCTAGGATTCTTAGTTGCTGGCACTGGACTTCTCTGCTGTTAGTTCACACAAAATTCTGGTCTGAGTAATTAATACTGGTGTGGTTGTTTGCTACCTTCCATGTGTAATCCAGAAGATGAATTTAGTGGTGTTGCAAATTGTGCCTTGAGCTTTTCTTTTAAAATGCATTTAATTGCCCTCTTAAAAGGGTGTTGGTCTGATAATTTTGATATGAAAAAATGTATGGTAGGCCTATAAAAATCATTAATAAAAATGATAAGAATTGGTTATCCCCAGTCTTTTATTTAGTATGGATAAGTACTTCAATATAAAAATAAATTTATAGAAACATTAATTTCACATTTTTATTACAGGCTAGAGGAAGAAAAGAATATTGTATCAGAATTTCAAGAGGACTTGAACAAGTTGGTTTTATGGTTAGAGGAAACAGACCATACTATTGGTATTCCCCTTGAACCAGGGAATGAAGACCAGTTGAGAGATTGCCTGAGCAAAGTGAAGGTATTGTGAGCTTTGTTCCTAATGTTTGCTTACTTTATCAATTCTACATTGAAGAGCATTAAAAGCTATTTTCAGAAGAGGTTTCTGCCATCAAACACAGCATTCATTTAACTTCTTTAGATAAATCAAAGCAGTGGAATTTCAAAACCCAGGGACAAATATATACTGATCAGATAAAGTAATGGAAAATATACTGAAAAGAAGATACTCTGTCAGTAGGCATTTAATCATTATCTTTTCATCCTCATTTCTTAATTCAGAACTCGACTGTTTTATCTGTACAGCATTTCTCTATAGGTGTCTGGTTAAAATTTTATAACTTCTCACTTATGAAATGGTGTTCAGTATTTCACAGGAGGATCCAGAATTGCATGCATAATTATATGTGTCAGCTCATTAAAGTATCACTGCAACATTTGCTAGATTAAACATCTAGGTGACTTTCTTTTAAAAATGCTGTAAAAGGATCCCTAGCAGAATATTAAATATTTGTTTTTAAAGGCTGGAAAAGTTTCAGGAATACGATAGCACTTTGATATTGCTAATAAATAGTGGAAGTTGCTCTGTTCAGTTTGTTGAAATGGGTTCAGTAGAATGATTAATAACTTGCACAATAATAAACTAAACTGTAGTTGGAAAATGCATATTACTTATAGAATGTATGCCTAAAGGTTTTCTGTTCCCTCTTGAAGATAGTTGTTCTTTATGCAATCCAAGCTGAACAAATTCAGCAAGTGCTGAACAGAACATTCTAGACCCCTGTACGTTGGCATTTCGGGCTCCCTTTGGGCTGGATTCACTAATACAGTCTATTTTGGGGTTGTTTTTTTTGCCTTCCACATTCAGAAAGCAACAGTTATTTTGTCTTGAATTGAGTTTATTCCTTCAGTGGATATACAAATCGATAAGTGAAGATAAGAGAACTGAAAATTCTACCACAGTTCATCTTAACTGCTGTTCTTGTCTGTTCCAGTTAAGAGTTGAAGAGCTGCCGCCCCACAAGGGAATACTGAAACGATTAAATGAAAGTGGAGGAATAGCACTTGGAAGTGCATCACTGAACCCAGACAAGAAACATAAGCTTGAGAGTACACTGAAGGAGGCTAACCATCGTTTGTTAAAGGTTAGACATATTACTGATAGAACTGTAGTATCAAATTTTAATCTGCAGTGAATATTTGCATTATATGTTTTCTGGTGTGTGTGATTTTTCTCTGTATAAAGAGACATTTATATGCATAATGAACCTGAAGAAGAAAAATGTGTACAATACACTGCTGTGAGAAACAGTGATAGCAAACCAGGACCATTAGTGCCTGAAGTGGCAACGGTGCATCCAAACGTGCTCCCTAACTTACATGTCTCGCACTTAAACGTGGAATGCAGGGCATCATTTCTGTGGCCTGGCAGCTTTGCTGGGGCAGCAAATATTCCAGGCTTTGTGACTCAGCTGTGGGAGAGACAGTAGCAAATGGTTGGTTTTCTTTTTGGAAACACTTCCCAGTTCTTTCCAGTTCCCAGCCCCAAGCTGGAAGATGCAACCACTGTTTCATCTTCCACCATCTTCTCCCAACCCTGAGCATTCACTTCTGGTTTCTGTGTAGCAAAGTACCACTCACTTGCATGTTGGAACCTCTATACTCATGGAGAGAAGTAAGGGAGAATTTTATTCTGTTTTATTGCTCAAGTACAATATTTTTGTGTTGGAAACTGGTGACAATGACTAACAAATCTAGTAAAGAGAGTTGGATAATTTGAATGTTCTCATGTAGCAGAAATGGTAGAAAGCATTGTCCAGAGGACTATGACCCAAGGTATGGATTAGTCTGTTTGGTAAAGGTCAAGGTAGAATCAGCTGAAGGATTTCTGTTGAGTCCAATGGGGAAAATAGAATCTGGGACATGAACCTGTGGGTCCCCGGGATGCTGTGGAAAAAAAGGAAGAGTAATGCATTGTTTAGTTGTGGGGAACAAAAGTACACCACTGAAAAGACAAGCTAGAGTGTCAGGTCAAGAATACTACATCTTGGGGTTTCTTGTTACCATTTCTGTAAACATGTGGAATTTCAAGCACAGACCTGAGAAATAAAACGGGGCTGATTTGACATGGTACTTTTACTAGTTTCTTCCTAACAGAAACAGTCTGGCAAAGTTCAGAATAGTAGCTAATGGCTCAGGCAAAAGTGGATAATAAACATTGATCACGTTCACAAACTCTAAGTTGGACACATAAATCATTATTTTGGTGCTTGTACAGAAGTATCTCTGTCTCTACAAATGGATTTATGAAATCAATGTGTACAGAAGAATTCAGAACACCTCAAGGAAAAACCAGTGTTATTTACTAGCTGAAGGAAGCATATACATAGCTGAATTTAGGCACCGTGGTTAAAATATCTGAGTTGTGATATTAAAAGACAACGGTAGTTTTAAGGAAAACAACTTTATTTGCAGTATGTTTACATAAATACATTTTAAGAAAATCTGCAATTTGTTATTGAATGTAGGCTTTTACTGATTGGTCATATACCTAAAAACTTTGTATTTTCATTTTCTACTTGCTGAAAAAAATGTCCCAGGTTACTTGTCACAGTCAGAGCAGCTATGAATGTTGTTGAAAGTATTTAGGTTTGGATGAAATATGGAAGACAAAACTACTGTCTAGTGAATCATTACAATTTAGTGAGTTTTTGCAATTTTATGTCTCCTACATCTAAGCAATATGTCTGGCAAGATAATTTGAATTGAAATTTACAACTTGAAAACTTTGATTTACTCCTAAAAGAGACTAAAACCAGAAGATTAATCTTCCACTTAAGGTAATTTCTTAACCACATAATTTTGATTTCAGTTATCTTCCCATGGAGATGTATCAAATTGAATTCTCATTGGCCCTTGGTCTCTGAATCTAAAGAATCTGAAAAATGCAGTGGTTTTCTTTATTTGTTTTGGCTTAGGTTTTGTTTTGTGTTTTTTAAATGAACAGAAATTGAGCTTGAAAATTACCAGACTCAGATCAATACACGTTCTCTGAAGGGGTTCGCGTTCTCAGGAGGTTTTCTATTTTCCCTGTGATCTTGAGAGATGTAAAAAAAAAAAAAAAGTTAGAAGCTCATTTTCTGTCAGATTTTACCAATGAAAATGAAGGGAAAAAATTATTTTTATTTGCGTATTTTTTCTGTTTCTCATTATTTACGTAGGAAGCCTCAATTGTTTCACTTTCTGCCCTGAAAGTCTCGGGTCTGTAATAGAACCAGGAATCATGGAAAGGCTGGGAATCATGGAAACTCTGCAGGCCTGGCAGAGGAACTTAATGTCGTCTTCCTTCAGTTATAGATCTGCAGACACTAAAAAAACCTGCAGATGTTTACTGTGAGCCAAAGCTCACAGATCTGGCACTTTATTTCAGGCAAACTTCGCAGGTCACCTGAGGATGGTTCTGTAGTCAGTTGTTTTGATGAGGATATATTTTTTGTGCTCCTCAAAGCACAGTAGACAAACATAATCACACAGAGATTTCTCTGGGGCTTTCCTGTCTCCCCATCCCCTTTTAAAGTGTATCTTATACTTTAATCCTTTGTCTCTGTTTGGTTTGGTTTGTTTTGTGGCATCTCTGCTGGAAAGGAGCACGTGACATTCTGCCCTTTCCAATGCTCCTGCATTGCAGGATGACATTAGTTTCACATACGAAACACACATGGCAGTTCCATGAGTTATGTAAGGTAGGTCCTTATCTGGTGTACCCCAGAGTAATTCTGTCTACTTCAGAGAAGCTGTGGCAGTTTACACTGGCTGAGAGTGTAGCCAAATATCTCCTAAGGTTATCAGAAACTTTGGGTTTGCCTTGATCTGCCAAGCAGGGGAACGGGGGACAAACCTGAGAGTCTTAACCTTCAAGGTGACGTGTTTGAAATCAGCCATGTTCAAACCTTCTTGACACTCACACAAACTGTTGCCCTACAGCAATAGAAAGAACCTAGAAAAGAACCTGAGTATGAAAGGAATTGCAGTCACATAAAAGTAGCTTTTTTGCTTTTACTTCAGAATTGTCTTTGCTTTTGGGTGCTTATATCACGTGCTGATGACCTTGAGAGTAGATATACGAAGAGTTTTTCTTTCTTTGGATAGTAATAATTTTAACATGGCATTTCATTAGACAACTTTATTGAATAGTGATTCTAACAGGCTGCTGCCTCAGACAGGATAGTTTAAGCAGCGAATGAAGATTAAAGTCCACATTTGAAAGACATGACTTTTTAATTCTATCCTGGTTTTACTTATTGTACCCTCTCCAAAGCCAGTATTTCTTGTAGAAATGAAAATAGCACTATCTTTATGAAGTCTTAATATTATGAAAAATGAAGCATTTAATGACCATTTTTATGCTTTCACATCAAGAATTTTTCATTTATTTTCAAAGCTCAAAGTATCTTCTGCTGTGATAGCCAAGTAAGCTAACCACCTAGTGCTTCAAAGCATACAAAAGGGTACTAGGCACTGGGGTTTGTGATGAATTCAGTTCTTGTCATATACCACCTGCTATGGTATGTAACAGATCTGTAATGGGTTTCTTACCTTTTACTGTGCAGTAAATGGATTGATAGATTAGGTCTGAGACCAGTGAACCATGGAATCAGAGGTTTGCTGGAAGGAGTTTATTACTCTTCAATGTTATTCTTGGTCTGGTGTCAGCCAAGAGCGATGAGCTAGATTATCTGCAAGTAAACTGGATGCCAAAATCAGCATTCTCCTCATTTATCCACCTTAGTCTTCACAACATCTACTGGATGTATTATGGAGGTTATTAGAAGTGCCTGATGGAGACATTTTGTTTTGCTGCCTTTTAATTTGTCTACTAGTATTAGTTCTAATTACTAGACACTGAAGAGACTATTTCACTGTTTATTGCCACAGCAAATCAATTTGTTGTGCTATATGGACATGAAAAAAATCGGACTGGAGTGACATGGCTATAATTTGTGAACATTTTCTGTACCACCAGAAAAAGCATAGGTTGTCTTATCTTGGTTGATCAAGTGTAGAGAAAAACAGATGGGCCCAGAAAGTGCAGAAAGACAAAGTCATAACAAGGTTATAGTTCATGTTTTGTAACTTGCCTTGTGTAGTAATTATTCATAGATTACCTACAATGGCATAAAATTTCCAGCATGTCAGTGCAACTCAGTTGGAGTTCACAGCTGAAAGTACTGCAATTGCTACTGTTGTTATTTGTGGGATTAGGGGGAAAATATGTTTGAAAATTAATGCTATGGTTTGATTTCTGTTCTTTCAATTTCAAATTAGAATACTATAACCAGCATTTTGGGATCCAAGGGTTGGCATTTTCCTGAATTTACTTTCAATTAATAAGTGATCTGATTCCTTTAAATATAAGAAAGTATTTTGTTATGTTCAATAACCTGTGACAGTTTGTCATAGATTGCTAATTAGGTATAGTCCACATTTCATGTTGTCATACATGAAGTTGGATTTAAATGGTTATTGGACAAACATGACAATGTCACGAGCTCTAAGAAACAGGAATATGTAGGTTTAATTCCTTTTTATCTGAGTATTGCTGACAGCTACCATTAACTAAGATAAAAAAGATAAAGAAAACTGTGGACTAGATTATTTAGCAGAGATTTAAGGTGGAGGGTCTTGTGTCCTTGGCAAAGGAGAGTTGCTGAGATAGTGGAGAGCAGAATGAATGGCAATTAGTTATAAGTATTGCATATAAAAACCATAGAGATATTCAGAAGACTCTGATACACAGGCTCATACTACCATGGCAGAAAAACAAAACAAGTCTTTGGGGTGGGGGAATTTGTTTGCTTTGCAAAACGCTGGACAGCCAGATGAAGCAGAAAATTGTTTGGTGCATTGGTTTTGTGGAATGCTTTGGGTTTTTTCATTAATGGGAAGAAAATTAATTTAAATGAAACTTGAAAATATTGCACATACACTGTAAAGAAGTTTAAAACAAAGGCCAGAGAAACATGTGCCAAGATCAGGCCCTGAGAGGCTTGCAAGGAAACATGAAGTGTTAGATGCTCAGCAAATAAAAATATTCTATACATATTTTTAGTAACCTGTGTTAATCTTCCTCTAATAATACAGTCTT